TGTTGTTCACTTCTTTTAGGTAGGCTATAAAACCCTCACCGGGTTTAGGTTAAGGAGTGGCTTTTGTATTCCCGAGTTTATTAAAGGGAGTGAGGCAGATACCGTCACATCCTCGTGCTCTATAATGGATCGTCATCATTGTCCTTTCCTCGGAATTGAAAGAGATGACTAGGAGTGAGGACAAAAAGGTCTCACAAGCCCACATCGAACTCATGTGGCCACCTTTGGTAGGAAGTTAGTAAGATCAAGATCAAGCTTTAAACAATTTGACTTCCCAGTGAAGTACAAGGAGGCAGAAAGTCCATTTAATGGGTAAATCTTTCCAGTTGTAAGGCAGTGTCCTTTCTTTTAGCTATACACGGAATGGGCAAATCATTACCTACAGAAAGCTGGCTACGAGTGCTTCATCACGGATCTACAAAATGATCTCAGAGATGGGAAAATGTTGGTCAATCTTACGCATGCTGTGGGTAAGTATTTACTTCTCTTTCGCATTTTCTCGCCTTTTCGGTGACTTTTTTCCCAAATTTATGCATACTTTTAGCCAAATTCATCTTTTTATTCAAATTAGCAGAACAGAGTTTCTCACAGCATGTGTAGCCGAAAGTCCAGTGCGTTATGAATGCCTCATGTAGTTAGAGTCACTTCTGACCCCACCAGAGGGGGGTCACCAGCCCGAGAAGGTGCCTTAGGCAGTCATTTTTGCTTCTGAAGATACTAATTCTTATGCAAGGAATTACAGCGCCACTAGGACATGGCCTTTTAGAGTTTCGAATGGAGATGTAGACGTAGAGGGGATGCTATGATGCCTACGATCGTCAAGTCGTTTTGCAACTGGTTTTAGTCAATTGTGAGCAGGAACAAGGATGGCATAGTGGTATTGCATTACGAGGAACCTGTGCAACTTTCGCCTCATTTGGATGCCTGAAACTTGTTACAGCTGTTGCACATGTACGATCTGTTCCAAAACCTCGCCATCCCACTCCGTGTGGGAAGACTCTGTGGCCCTAGTGATCATACATGTTCTACATGTGAGCTTGATCTACTCAGAGAAACATAAAAATGTCCTCCTTTGCTATACAATTTACTTGGGTGGTGACTAGGCCTTAAGCAGAATGGTAAAACGACTCATCAGAGGAAGGCAGTCCCATGATACGATCAGACATGAACAAATAATCCTTGCGCTACCAGGGCGGACTCAGATGAGAATGCACCACTACAGACCAACTGTTTCATTGCCCGGATATGACACTGACCATTTCAGTCACTACTCAAAAGCTAAAATGATAAGCAATGTGTGTCACATATTTGTGACAATTGGCGTCATATATGTGTGACGCATAGACTTGCGAGTCTTCCCCAAAGCTTTAATAAGCCATACCAATATGAAAAATGATAGAGAGATTGATAGGTTATGCGTATGTTCCCCGGCAGCAGGAGAACCTGATCTTCTAAGCATAATATTTAACTGTTGCCAATTTCCCTTTTCCCACTAAAGACCTTTGCCTGCGCTCCCCCTGGTCACTTCCTTATAACTAAAAAAGCGATCAAGAGTCGTCATTATATTGTCATGAAAACCAGAAGTCAGTTTATTGCAACATCAGTGAACATTTATTCTTTGGCTTTGTTACCCATGCTGGAGAAGAGGTATTTACCAGTTCCCCTCTGCTCAATACTGACGACGCTCCACAACGTGGTCACCTAACACATCAGTCTCCGTTTGCACAACATTTAGCTTTTCATGAAGGACAGGCTTTGAAGTGGCCCTATGGAGCTGCTGTTTGGCATTTAATTATTCCTGGCCGCTTTGTACGCATCTCAATGTGGTCCAGCTCCCTGCCAGGGTTGCGTGCGATTCGGTTATTGGAAACATAAAAGGACTGGTATTCCTTCGTGTAATTTACTTAACTTCAAACAGTCAAATCGTGACAGCCGTAAGATGGCCATCTCCGGGTCATCTGATGTCAACTCACTTGTCGACTGCCCACGTTCCCGTAGAATGTTCGGGTGAAGTGAACCTCGAAATGCCAGAGGGGTTCGACAGTAAAGCCCTTCTCCAAGGGTTTGCTAATCGGTCATGAATGTCATAGTGGTTGTCCTTGTGCATCGGATAGCCATGTCAGTATGGAAGACGGTCCATCATTGATGCACGGAGGAGCTGGCAATGTTATACTGTCAATTGGAAGTACAAACTGTCGCTACATAACGAACTTCTTTTCTTTTTTAGTCAACGAGCATGTCATACTTAAGGATTCAAATAAAAGTTCAGTGAGTCCAGTTTTTACCTACTGAAATCTCTTCATTTAAGTAGTTCTATTTGAGTAATATATCTAAGTAGTTTAAACATATTTTAAAAAAGAATTTTTTCTGAAAAAAACTCTTGATAACAAAAGTTTGACCTTTTCTGCTAAAAAATTTTACGAGTTAAGCTGACAAAAGGTCGAGATTAATTATTTTTTCCTGAAATTTGTGATTTGATGGATAAAAAGGTGGAAAAATGGAAAGAAACCCAAAGTAAATATTAAAAGTGGAAAATAAAGGACCCGTATGGCTACTGGGATAATTATAGTACCTCCAAAAGGCAGAATATTTAGCAGTCGGAAAACTTTGCCTCCCCAATGCGCTTTGTCCCTTCGGGGCAGCACCACAGCCCTAATCACCACCGCTGCTGTCACACATTTATTTACCAACTGTCTATTCTACCTCGCATGGAATCATAAGATTGTCTACTGTCTAAAAGTCCATGCGGACTAGGGGGCAGTTCAAATTTTTGCATGGATAGGCTTAGCGATACTGATCATGCGGTCATTCGTCGTCTTGCCATGACAGGACTTTTTCCATTGACTCTGATGTTTCTGGAAGGAAATCTCGCACCTCCCTTGGGTGAATGCGCCAAGGAGACAGAGCTCGGCTGTTGCTACTATTATGGCTACACACAACATTCATATTCTTCCAACAGGATGTGGCAGTGCGTGTCTTTGAAGTGTGGATTATGCAGTGGGTTGACCGTTTGGGTATAACCAATGACATCCCTACTAGAATGTCAAACAAAAAAGATCGCCACTTTTTCGTTACATAGAAGAATTCCAAATTACTTTCTGCTACTTGGTCTTGACACGGTAATCACGAATTTCCGTGACGTTGGCCCCACACCTGTTTCCGTTATGGGGAACGGTGGATCTTTCTGAGTGTGGCGTAATACCGTTGCGCGGTTTTATCCCTCAAAACATTTTTGGGTGGTGCATCCCAATACACGACGACACTGTCCAGTCGTTCTGCCTCATCTTATGGGAAGCAGAACGTTAGATTCACAAAAATCGGCGCAACTTTTTTAGTTAAACTCTATCCCAAGACCTGACAAGTTAACTAAAACAAAGAGAATTTCAAAATTTACGATATGTGTGATAGAAATGCATGACGATCCACTATGTGACTCATCGTAAACATACATTAATTTTAACAGAGGTCAAAGCGGACGGCGGAATTTTTAAATGTCACTCTTATTTCTCCCCTCCCACCGCTTTGAATAAAAAAACCTAATCCGTGAGTAAATTTTATCCACTCTTTTCCTAAATTTCAATTATTTTAATGCATAAAGTCAGAATTCAAGCCAGGAGTGTTCTTCATGCTTCGCCAGTAGTCAATCATATCGTCTTCACCAACGAGGGGCGGATGTCGTAGATATGCTCCCCTAGAAGCGAAAAAAAAATATTCGTCGGCTAGCTAATCCCCTGCAAAGTGATTGCTTAGAGGGGACTTGACTTTGAAAACCCTTGCGAGGTGAAGGAATCCGTTCTGTCGCTAATGTAGCGTCCAATTTCTCCCCAAAGCCACTACACGATGCCCTCGCAACTGCCTGGAGGGTGTGTTACGCCTCTGGGTTTAAGGCGGAAAGTTGGCACACAAAGGAGCCTGCGTAGTTACACGTAAAAATAAAACAGGTTTTTAGCGCATTTGGTAATACCACTGTGTTCTAGAATTTTCCTCTTAACCACCAACTCCTACCTTAAAAGGGCAGGCGGTTGGGTGGGATGTCTAGACTAAGTCCAAGGGACATGATAACTTAATCCAAGATTAAAAGGGTTGGGTAATCCTCACACCACTTTGTCGCCAGCAACTAAGTGGTAGCGGTGGTGGTAGTAAAACGCTGACGACAAAATAAACAGGTATATACGTATAGATGTGCATAAATTGAGAATGAGGCAAGAGACACCACCATAAAATATGGCAGGAGTGGCTTCGGCGGTAGTGGGAACTAAATACCCTGCAAACTCACGGCTAGTCTGATGGGGTTCGCCAAGAAGTGAAAAACCAACACCTCCGTGGATGATATACGCCAACCTGCATTTATCACCCACGCAAATGCCGTCAAATCGCGTCGTCTGTCCACCAGCATTCACTCAAGCCGTGGAGTTACCTCCAGCAATAATTAAATAAACGCCATTTGGGCTGACCTTCAATGAAAGAAAGAAGAAAGTGGCTTCCAAAATAAAACTTTGAAATGTAACTAGTCACTGAGGCGACGGTCATTTGTTATGACCGTCTTTTTGGATTTGTTTGCGAAGACTAATGTTGCTAAGAGGTTAAAAAAGCCGCCTCGTTTCTATTGTGGCAAGGGCAGAAGAAAGCGCCTGAAGTAAATTGGGCACCGTCAGCCCAAAATTAGATGATATGATTGCTTCCACAACTTACTTTTTGTCTAAAAATGTACTCAATTTAAATTCGTCAAATGATGCATTGCTTATCTCGCCTTTGCTTTAGCGCGATATCATCGTGGCTTGTTTAAAGGTTCTGGAGGACATCGGAGTTGACGTACACGATGTATCAGTTAATGGTAAGTAGTCAAAAGTGCTTTTTTATAAGCGCAACCAGAGTGCTAGTTACCCACACATTTTTAATAAATGGTAAAATTTAAGAACACATCTAGTGCAACCGTCACATATACGTGACGCGTCGATTTTCTCACCTCATTCCGGCAAACTGAAAATGCGACATATGGTATGGAAGCCATGCCATGGAACGAAGGTGGCGCCTGTGAAGGCTCAGGAGTAAGCGGCGTCAAATGCGGCTAAACGAAATGCTGGTTTTGTGGTGGACGAACCCTCATATCAGCAAATCTCAAAATTTCTACAAAAAAATTGAAAGACTAATCGCCGCCTTTTCAAAAGGCGCATAATTTTACGCACCTTTAAAACTAGAGTATCAGTTCTTTTCTCACCGTACACACTTTGGCTGATCGCTCATCCTGTTGCCGCAGACAAACTAAATTCTAGCACAGAAAATTTGTTTGTCTATTTATTTTTCAGCAGCAAAGTCATGAATTGCAAAAAGTGGGGCCAAATTTCATAGTGGTACATATTCCTTTCAAGTTTGCTAAAACTTTACAGCTTTATTTATTTACAGAACCCACTTTTTACTGCTGAGTAAATATACATTGGCAAGCTCACGCAACTGGACACGAAGGTGGGCGTACAGGCGAAAGTGGTTAAATTAAACACGCCATTTAGCAGTACTTGCTATCTTATTTTGTCGAATTACTTTGAACTCCCACGAACAGGTAATAATCCACTCCGATACAATCTATCTGCACATTTGGTTGTTTTATTGTAGCCTGCATAATAAGGTATGAAAACACGATATCATCATCTTTTTGTAACTATTTAAAAACAGACTTGAAGTATCGAAAACAAAAAAATATCTCTCCGAGGAGGTTTGTATTTGAGAATAATATTATTATTTTATTTTAGCACAATTCTGCCTACCCTTTCCTAAACTAAATAATCCTTTAAATGAGTACGGATTTGACACCGGGAGAATCACCTCACACCTAGGAAATGCTTCATTTCAGGCATACTCAGCGGTCGCTTAAAGTGTATTCTCGGGTTGTTCTTTAACCTCTCAAAGTTTAAACAAAAACTTCGGGAGCGCCAATCGCAACCGAATCAAATTGTTCACTCCGGAATCCCACAAAAGTCCGAAGATTCGCCTCTGAATTCCACAAGTCTGGACAGCCCAGATAGTGACAGGCGTTACGTCACTCCACCCAGCTCCGTGCAGAGCCATGTTCAGCACCACTCACGACCCCTGAGTGACCCCCAGGCCTTGAAAAAGCCTATAGACGCCAAGAGTCGCCTACCTGTCTTCCGTCAGAATCGAACAAAGTGGGTCTTAAATATTCTTTTTACTTGGTTTAAATAAGTACAAAATAAATTTTCCCGTAAATTTGCGGACATGCCTACGTTTAGCATACTGGCCCTTATAAAGCGATTGGCTGCCTCTCAGCCAATAGAAATGCTCCAGCCAACTGCAACCATATTTTAATGTTTTTCGTAGAACTTTTGTCATTTTTGCGTTTTAATTTGCAAGAAATCGTCTGTCAGATTCGCCACAACCTAAGAGTGGTGAAGTGGCTGCCTCTTCCCTGCCAACCCGATCAATTCGTTCGCCACAGCCGATTAAAAACCAGAAAAATCTGCCTTCCAAAGCACCTACTTCCTCCCTTGGTAGGCTCACCTATTTTTAAACCAGTTTCAATGCATGGCTTGACCATCTTTTTGTGAAATTACCTGGCAGCTTAGTTCATTAGACCTTTAAGAATCCTAAGCTGGTAACTTAAAATACCCAATTTTAGGCTAAAATCATTTTTTTTTTCTGCCAGAGTGCAATACAGTACAGTATAATTCACCTTATAGTTGATGAAAATGTCGCTCAATGGAACATAGGTGAACTTTGAATTTATTCTGCTCAAGCTTAATCGCACGTTGAATGGGTGCATGAGAAATGCCAAATTTACCAAAGGAATATCACTTGGAAAGTCGAAGTTTGAAGTTTCGTCAATGGTCACTTAAACAAATTATTCTGTTAATTTGGTGCTTGTGGAGTGGTCGGGACTCATCTTTCTTAATGAATCACTGTCATGAATACCCTGTTGGTTGCTTGTGATCGCTGGACGAAATGTGTCAAGCCCTGTTTTCGTGTGACCCACAATGCTGTGACACAGTGGAAACTAATTCCACATTTCCCAATAAACAGGCTCCCCCGGCACCAATCCTCCGATGCTTCCTATGAGCCGACCTGGAGGGGTTTTAGTGAAACATCCCTCTTCCCTCCCTCAGCCCGCGTCCATTCAGATGCGTTCCCTGGTGGATCTTGGTGGATCAAGACCCCTTCGAGAAATTAGTGCTGAAGTGAGTTATTTTCACTTTTTTGACACACACAACAATCACGATTGTTTTTTTTTAAATGAATGGCTTTATTTGAGTCAGTCATCAAAATGTTTTGTATAAATCTAAAGAAAAATTGCTGATAGCTTTAAATTATTTAATGCAGTAGCGCACATGTCCTCTTTAAAGATGTAAAACTAAATGTTTCCATATAGCAACTATTGGGGAGCGTACCCAAGGGCGGTTGGTCTGTTGTCAAATCACCATGCTACAGGGATGGAAACTAAAACCTTCGGTGAATAAAGAAATGAATGACTGCAGGACTCTCCCAATGCGAGAGTGGTGTTGTGTCATATCTCCTAATGAAATAGACAGCATCATTTTGGATGGTCCGAAAAAAACAACGAAACGCTGTAATTTATTCTGACAAATTTTATTTGTCACTTGTCATCCCGCATTTGTTTTATCTTTATAAACCACAAGAATTTTATTGAGTAATACTCGTCAAAGCAGCATTCAAATGCTGCACACTCGTAACGTTGAACTAACACGGGAAAACGGAGACGATATTTGTACGTGACTGTAGTAGTAAACGTGTCAAAGTGCATGCTTAAATCCATTTTGCTATACTAACATTGTTGGTGTGCTCAAAGAAGAAAATTTATTGAAGGACATGACAAACTACTATCGTGCTTTGGTATTGCTAGCTGCATAATTCAGGAAATTTGTATTCCTGTCTGAGCTACAAATTGAAACAGAAACGAAAACTTTGACCTGCTTTAAATATTTTACTCCTATGGTTCGGTTAAATTGATCGACAGCAAAGGAAAAGCCTGAAACTTTTTGTTTGAATGCACCATTAGAAATCAGCATATAATCGCCCCACTTTTCAACTAAGGTATGAATTGGGAAACGTGATTTGTCTCCAGAGGCAGCTATCTGGTTCTATCTACCTCACTTTTATTTTTTAAGTTGTATTTTCCCTTTTTTCATCTGACAGTCTGATGCCAGGTAAGAGTTATAAGCAGCACCTAGAGGGGTAAGAATTGGAGAAGTAGGCAGGAGGAAGATGAGGCAGTGTTTCTTTTATCCGCTAGCTCACATTTTAACCAAAGTGCTGGTATTCTAATGGATTAAATGTTGTGGTATGAGATATTGCCTTACCTCTAAAAACCTCTTCTTAGTAGTTGCTTAAATCAACAACAATCAAAGCATTTCTAATCACAGGTCGTCAATCACCAAGGAATGCAAAGGTGGCGCTTGTGTACTTGGTGAAAGATGTAAAGAATAATTAGGTAGTATGTTACCTTTTTCCTACCAAATTGTTTAATAGAATTCTTTCTCACAACTCCTTATTTGATGTAAATGGGAACGGTTTGTTTCATTGCTGACGCTAAACGTGACTGAAGCCGCCTCGTGATACATTCAACTCCAGCCAGAGTGTCAGTAGTGGTTACCGATTCTTTGGTCCCCAGAATAGGAGGTCTTCTTGTTTTCATGCGGCCCTTCCCAGCTGCTGTGTTTCACACGGTGTTTCGTCTTCCTCAGTTGGTTTGAAATTTGCAAACGTCAGAGCTAGGAGTGATCACATAGTTCCAAAATTGACTAACATGGCTTCAACAGACGAAGCCGTCATTCAAATGCACAAGTTAGCAAATTTGAGTGCCTATTTTTTTTTGGTAACAGGCCTTTTTAATGTTCAGAGATTGTCTTTTTATACCGTATACAGAACTGATGAATCCAGACCAGTAAAAATCCTTCTCCCAAATGTATTGTTACTAGCCCTTCTAGTTTCGGAGGGCTGCATTAGGGAGTTGTCTACGTTGCATTCCAATTTCATCCAATAACCTTCACTAGACGCTGTCCATTTTAACCCTGAAATGTAATCCACCGACTGCAAGCAACTGCGTGATTCCCCTTCTTGAAATGGTAAAATCCGCAAAGGCGAAATGTGTCCCTGAAAAGCGTGAGGATCAGTCGAGAATAAATTGTACGTAGTATTTGCCTAAGAAGAAACCACAGTAATTGCCATGTATACGTTGTCAGGTCTTAAAAATCATTGACTACAGCGTTTATTTAAGATTACTGAAGTGGTTTGAAGAGACCTCATTCAAACGCAGAGCACAGTTTCTGGGAATCTGAGTGAATGCAGGGGCTATCCAGGGAGGTATTCAGAGGTACTTATCTCAGTCTATCGAGGCAGACTTTCCGTATTTTGAAAAAATTGGATAGTAATCAGTGTAGCTACAGAGATATCCTTCAAACCATTAATCAAAGGACCGCGACCAGTAAAATCTACAAGGCTTGAGATAGGGATCAACAAGAAGGACGTTGCAGGAAGTTAGAATAGCTGGTGAGTGTCCTGTGGTACCATTCATAGAAGCATTTTCTCTTTACAGCAGGTTGAGAGCGTATGACAACATAAACGGGAGTAAAAGTATCGCTGCTCTCGGTGTCAGCAATTAGGAATTCACGGAATGTAGATGGATGAAACACTAGAAATTAAATTTTTTAGAGATATTACAAATACAACCACCAACCTCTTTGATTTTAGAACTTTGGAGCAGACAGTTCAAAAGAGAATGCCTTGTTCTGCATGCATTACAATTGTTATACCGTTTTGTGAGTTCTAGATCTAAGGCCTGTTTATCTTCAGGTGATACATTTGAACTGCCACTTCTATTAGCACTCCGACCCTTTTACCATATCACCTGAGCAGAGTCGGTTACGGTGCTGAGCATGTTGTGGGTCGCTGTAGTCGCATTGAGAATGGATGGAACTCTCTGCATACCTTGCTCCTCTTTTCTTTTAAACACACGGAGCTGACTCGTCTAGCTGCCTGGAAGTTTTTAGCTGTTTATGTTTCAGTAGCCCAAGAAGGTGGGACGTTTAATCCTCTGCCTTCAGATTCTTCCATTTTGGCCACCAAAAATCACGATAGTCTGTAATCTTCTTTGAGAACGTGGAGTTACTTAATTCATTAACATGACGGGAACACATATCGAGGTCCTGAACTCCTTTGTGTAATGGTATTCTAGAACTGATTGGATCTTAGTTTCACACCTTGACAATCACCGTAGATGACAGGTGTCACCTTTTTTCTGCCAAAGACAGATGAGGAGCCTTTTATCCGAGTGGATATGGCTAAGATGCTTGACTTCAATGCCGATTTTGCATTGACACTTTGTCATCTTGGACTTGTTAGATTCCTGTCAAAATGACCTTTACCCTTATTCATTAATTATCTGTCTGCACTGGGCCTTTTTCCATTGGTCTAGACCCATGGACATCGACTGTCCTTCAAAATGCCAATTTGGTACTAGAATTTTGACATCTTTAACCTCTGCTTATTTAATGCACGCACAGCTTTTGTTATTTGCTAACCAAAGGAGCTATTACCGCCCGAGGAGGAAAGACTTGTTCTTTTTATGGTCATGCACCCAGGTAGGCATGTAGGCAGCATTGTTTTACGGGCCCGGAGGTAACTATCTTCTATCAGGTAAGGTCACGTCCTTGGTGATAGAACCCTAGGCGAATTTCGCACTAATCCTTTCCATCTGTGCTTGCTATGGCTGACTAGTTATAATTACTATATCACAATACGCCTTTTTATAATGTCTTAGAAACAAAATTTAAAACAATGTGGGAACCTGTTTATTGTCACAGAGAATTAAAGCCCATACTGTCGGAAGCTTGGTGTGTACTTCAAAAGATTCAACAGGTCAGGTGACACTAAGGTGTCGCTTGAATGGGTCATGACATTTAACGGCAATGCTTTTCGTTTTTCAAAATTAAATCGGTAAAATTGTTTCCCGAATGGCACCAATTAGCGAGGACACCCTTCCATTTACACTGGCTGTTATGGCTAGAAGGTGTGTGTCGGAACTGCAAATTCCTCTCCACCGAAATGTGCACTTCGTGTGGTGAAGCAATTTCCCTTTAGGTAAATAGAACGGATTTGCAGTGGCAGACCGCTGAGGCTGTCCACAGCCCCAGACAAACATTTGTGTTCCGATTTTCTGGAAACATTCTTGATTGTGATAAAACATCTCGAAATACGCCCTCGCGTTCCACTCCTCCGATTGGCCAGTGGTGCTTCTATCACCAAGTCTCCAGCCATCAGCCGTTGGTCGTGTAAGCTTACGGCGTAAACCCAGCCTGGTCATAGGGGTCGGAAATAAGAATATTTGCATTGCTTATTCTGTTTTAAGAACCCGACAGACTTTAATAAAAGAATTTGTCTTCAGAAATATTTAATCAAAAGTGGCACTCGTATTCCAGTTTCTACTTTACCAACGGTCTGTTCTACTTCACCGCCTATCTTGTGATTGATGATTTTTAACTAAAGGAAAAAATGATAGAGAAATGTGGAGGATAAAACTGAAAAAAAAAACTTTTTTTGCTACCTCCTCCCCACCTTCCTTCCATCTACCCTCCTTCCTGTCCTACTGAAGTTCAGACCTTATCAATGACAATTTTAAACTATGAAGCATTGCATTACCCTGGAAAAATAAAAAAAAGCGATTATTCCGCCTCTTGACTCGTCATGGTGATTTTATGGAGGAAACTTTTTGTCATGCACCCATCCGAGAAGCACCGCAAGTGCTGTTTGACTTTGAAGAAGTGGACAATGCCCACCCGACAGTTGCATTCGTAGTGGACAAGTCCAATTGACCTCAATGCGGGAGGTGAATATTTGTGTATCTCGCATTAGAGGATCTGTTGTACCGAGAGTTGCCGAAAACAGCGCCAGCATTTCGTGGCCAGCGTTGGATGTTTTCCTGTTGCAGGGCCAGTCAGAACTTAGGGTACACGTACAAATTACCCTCAATTAAGCAAACCTTTTAAAATGTATTGCCGGTATGGGTGCTGACAATTTCAAGCTATCAATTGCCAGCTGTGCAAAATTTATGGTGTTAACAGATGAGAGGACAAAGAAAGTCAGACCCTCTTTTATTTAAGGCAGCATTTCTGTAGCCGGTAGGAAAATGCTTCCCAATTCATATACTCCTTCATATTTGATTGTTAAATGTCAGCATTCGTCTACTTAAGGCAAGACTTTTCGTAGGCAATGGAAATTCAAAGTTACATTGTGTTTTGGATGATTCCAGAACTCGCCTCAACAACCAATCAGCAAGTCAACCGGTATGAATAATGCCATTACACCACCACTCTTCACAAAGTCGCATATGCAGTACTATCCACCATCCAACTATCCGGGTGTGAGCCAACTACCAACACCGACTCTCTCCTTCAATGCAGGCATCCTGCGATTCAAGAGACCCTCGGATTTCCTTCCTCAGAGCCTCACACCTACACCTTCTTCAAAATCCAGTTCTATTGCCTCTTTGTCTTCGACGTCGAATGGAGGTCATAACCTGTATGCGCTTCAAAGCAGCCTGTTTGCCTTAAAAGATTGTGTATCTATTTTCAAACAATTTAGAATCGTTGGCCACCTTAAGATTCAGTAAGGCATGTCAGCAAGGGCTCTACATTGCGTAAATTCCATGAATCACTTGCTAATCTGTCTACCTGAATACCTGGTTAGCTACCGCACTTGTCGGAGGGTAATGGCCTTTCCTTGCGTCACTTCTCCAGCAACCATATTACAGACGACTATGTAATGAGGCTTTTCAAATCGCTCATGTCACTTGTCACTCCATTTGTCAATTGCCTCCTTGCATAACGTGGCTTCAACGACAGTTTACAGATTTAGTGATCCTTTCTATGACGGTTAGGCATGGTATCAAGCCAAGGAAATCGAAAATTGTGGTTCATTTCAACCTAGTTTGCTTACCGTTGTAGTCCCTGGAGTCATGTCTGAAGACACGAAGGAGAATACATTAACGCCCAGAAGGGCTACATGGAAATGAGTTGGAAGCAGATATCATACACTCTACATCATTTTAAACAGTTAAGTGCTATTTTTAGACCAAACAGTTCCAAGACTCGACACGATGAGTATGTAAATGTCAATGGGGAAAAAGACGATGAGGAGGGAGAAGGAGAAGGGAGTCCACTAGGCAGCAGGGAAATCAACCGAGCAGTATCACAATTGGAAGATGTGAATCCAGGCACCTGGTCAGGTCGACTGTCACCCACGCTTCCTGGAATGTCAACCTCAAATGGTCATTTCTACCTCACTACAGCGCTTCAAAGAGCCTCTCTAGATCCGCATCTACACAACAAACAGACATCTACATCGGCGAATCACAACGATGGAGACGATAAGAGCATCAAATCGGAGTGTCTGCCCGGAAAGGATCTGAGTAAGCAAGTTATGCAATCAATTATGAAAACTTGGAGTTTTTATTAGTTTGTTCTACGATACCGTTGTAAAGGTCGATTTGCAAGAGACTTGAAGGCCTCATTCCATTACAATGGTTATGTCTTCCAAAATATCAACCCGCGGTCTTCATATTCTTCTATAAAGGAATAATTTGGGCCTCTGGAATAAGTGCTTCCTTCTAGTTGCTTTTTGAAGGGCACGCAGTCAATCCATTACCATATATGCCGTCTTCGGAGGGTCAATTAAGGCGACCAGATCATTTACGAAGAGTGAAAGCAATTTAGTCTTTTTAAAAATAGAAATTAAACAAAAGGAAGGAAGAACACATATATGTAGAATGAATGAATGCCAAAGAATACTGATTTTGTTGCACTATATTTAAACACGCAAATCTTTACATAAATTTAAGCGATGAATATTGTAATTTCGACAGTCCAGGTTTGACTTTAATGACCCTAGTAACAGAGATGACAAAAGGGTGGTTTATTCGTCACATCACAAATAAATAGCCTATATGAAAAAAAAATTTCAGATCAGCCTACGAAGAGTTTGGGCATTCCACCAACACTCTACTCCTCCGAATCAAACCTCTTCACCCCTGATGCCTGGTCCAACAGCCTTCCTAATCGCCCTTTTCATAGAGCTATGAAAGCGACCACCAGAGAATCCCCTTCTACATTAGCTCAACTGCGAGCTCGAGCTGACGGAAGGGAGGAGGTGCCAACAGAAAGGATTTATGGTCCTTTGGGTTTCCTCAAACTTCCCTACGATCCCCCACGATCACACACTGATCACGGAGAAGGTGAGTTTTCTCTGAATACGGCCAAACGTCCTTAATTTTTTTAATGCAATAATTGGATGTCAATCTACGCTTTAGTTAAATCTCCATATTCAATTCTCGGTTGTACAGATTTGAAACATTCGGTAAGTTCATGGCCGTATTTTGACAATTATTGACATGCTACTGACATTATATAAGTAACATTTTTGCCTGTTAAGGATGATGAAACTGATTCTGAGGTATGCTTTTTAAATATTTCTATTCATACCTAGAGTTAAATTTGCTCTTTTTTAAGATGTTTGCTATTTAAAATTTTAATTACTACTCGTCTAATATGTTTTTTTTCTTTTAGGCCGAAATATGCCACCTCCGTAGGGAATTAGAAACTGCAAGGCTAAAAGTCACCACATTGACATCGCAGTTAGAGTTAAATGTAAGTGTGCTGGCTACCTTTCTAAATTATTCGCCCTTTACGGGAGGAACAAACATTTGTTTTCGTTTAAATGACTTCCTTTCCCCATTTCTTAACCCCATGGAGTCAGCTGTTATCGGAGTGTAGTGTAATCACGTAGGATTTTGCCTCTCACTTACACATTTTTATGGAGCTAGTTTGTAAATACGTTATTTATCCAGCCCTCTCCTTCTACTCTGATACGTCTAAGTGTGACCTTGAGTTGCGCTGCTTGGCGATTGGTTGAAAAATTAATGCGTTTAAATTTATCCGCGGATTTTTTATAAACACTGCACGAATCGTTTCGCACTGAGCCAACGTCATTGCAATTTATCTTTTCATTTTGCATGACTAAGCGGAATTATTGTCCAAGATTGGCGTTTACATGAATACTTGTGGTTTTCTTTGTTCCCTTTTACAATGCAGACATCAAAGAGAATTTCCTTCCTTACTGAAATAAATAGAATCAGTTGCAGACTAGACGCGGTCGGTTGTCCAGTAGTTGACATCAGCCAGCTGTCTGGACCCACATTTGTGCAGCTTTTTGCGTAAATGGGGAAAAAGGATACTTCGTTCTTTGTCTGTGGCCTTTATTGCACCGCATTTAGACGAAGTTCGTTTCTAATCGCTCCCGATGCTTCATGATTAAGTTCATCCACTTAGTAAAATTTCCTAAATAAAAAAGTGTAAATACATAATTAATAATGGTAAGATCCTAGTAAACAATGAAACGTATGCCAAAAATTGTCACTTCTTATTGTAAATAGTCCAAATTTGATTTGAGGAACTATAAGCTGCGCTGCCGGATGAAAGCCCAGGTCGGTGATGGATTGAGTAACGCTGTTTTCAGCAATCCTTCAAAATGTATTTAGCCTTGAGGCAGGATCAAGGGTGATCTAACGCATCCTACTTACCTGTGGTAGTATGTGCTGTAGGTCTGATCGAAATGCCTTAATATCGTGCCACCTTCGAGGGAGGGGTGAAGGCTGAATGCCGTCAACAGGCAATGTCCTTTTGACAGACTTGCTTAACTGTGGTGTATGGACTTGTCGCCGAGCAAACAAAACAGCGCCCCCAGTCCCTCCTGAGTTCGTGATAAATCCTCTCGTTTACTAAGAAGGGCCTAGTCTTGGCGTACAGAGGGGTTGGGGCCGTAGGAGTGGCCAAAGAGCCATACAGCCAAGCGGGAATATCAGCAGACCAAATACATTTTCTCCAGAGTATAACAAAATGTCATGGCAAGCGACCTCCCCCATGATCGAATGCGTGTTCATTTCAGGCCAGTTAATAAAAAAACTTAATTACTGGGATTTTCACACCAGTCGCTTGTTCAATTAGTCCCTTGTTCACACCGTGCCATGATTACCTTCATTTGCGTTCGTGTGTGCGCACGTATGCCTTTGCGTGTAGGGTGTGTATGTATGTGTGCCTAATTACTCATTCAAAGGCATCACTACCTACCTGCCAATGAGAATTCACTCTCCCCTGTGCGTGCGTGCGTGCGTGTGTACGCGCCTAATCGAAAATGTTGTAACAGTGCTGCAGCACAGCACAGCACTGCACAGCAGTCCGTGTTATGGACCGGCTGTACCCCAACTTCTACTCCCTCCATGCAACTCCTGCAGAACCTCTGGAGCCCCGGTTCAAGCGTCGTTCATGGAATGCCTTCCCTGAAAACCCTCCACTACCCTATACCGTCTATACGTCAGTACAGGAGGCGACACTTCAGCACCGCCGACATCAAAGATGTTCCAGTGAAGCTCCTACTACTCGAAGAGTTTCAACCTTCCTTCCAGATAGCAACAGCAATGATGATGAAGTCGATGCTGGTGTGATGGAAGACGCTGTGGAGGAAACGACCACTAGTATCTCCCCCATTCCACCAATTGCAGTTGTTAAACCAACTGTTGGAAGGATTGACGGTCGTAAAATTCATCGACCACAGCCCTGCTACGGACTGCCAGCTCTACCATCATCGTCGCATGACCTTCTACCTCCATGCATGCAAATGAGTGCTCCAGAGGCCTACTTCAACAATCTGTGTTCTTCAAGCTTAAAACAGCCAACAGCAAGTTTACCAAGACGCAGAACTCAATTAAGACGCGAGAGAGCAGTACCAGTTGCTAGACACTCCGTTTTTGAGTGTCCCAGCGTAGTTGACTACGGACCGCTCCAAAACACAGTACTGCAAGATTTGACGCTTCGACGAAGAGCTCGGCGACATCCTGAAGCAGCAGCCACAGCACCGGTCAGTCGAAGAAGACTTTTCGGTAGTTCTGCTGGAATGTTACCTGCAACATTAAGACCGCCTATTGCCACTGAGGAGGAGCAGTCGTCTACACTAATGGCGATGCCTAGCCTCCTGCCACCAGTTTGTGGCCGCTCGGAGCGTCAGGGTAGAAGCACTCGTGTAAGCATGGATGAAGCAAGGAGAGGGAGAGAGTAAAATACTTATTCTAGCAGTTGAAATGCCTCAGAAGTGTAACTGCCAGCACATTTGGTTACAAAATTGTGGGAAATCCATCGCTTATCTATGAGAGGTAGCCTGCTTAAGGATTTCTATTAATCACAGGTCTTATTTGTGCCAGCAATCACTGCAAAAGCCCACTTTTTTGCATCTTAAACTTTGAATATATCTCTTTAAATTTGACTTTTACATAGGATTTTGCTGATAGGTTTATAAATTTTGTGTTGTGCCGAAAACAAGCAGGTGCCCATTTTACCAATCCTTTGGGGCGCTAGTGCATTGCCCATTCGCCGTGTAGTCTTTCCTGCACCTTCCATCATGACACGTCGCCTTCATTTGCTCCCCTTTCCCTCTCAACCCATCCCTTGAAGAGACTTAAATACCGACAGCTAATTCGTAACTCAATCTTTACAGACTTCCGATTCCACCATTCATGAGGCTGTAAGGATGGGGGGCGGGGGGGGAGGGGGTATCTCTTTTTCAACATCAAAACTCGTTAGTTTATTTTCAGACTTGTCAAGAAAGATGCATTTTCTTTTTTACGGACAATGAGAAGCCTCTTAAAGCCTCGTTGAGGTATTCACCACTGTAATATGTCATCATTTAGCACAAAGCAGCTGACTTTTACCTTGTCCATGGAAGGTAACAATCACGCCCATTCGCCTGGACACCTCTGTTTCTGTCACGTAACTGTCTGTCATAATTTTCGGCAATTGGATAGTGTAGAGCAGAAGGTGGAGGAATGAAAAGGGTGATAGTAAAGCGATATCTCTTCTCTCTACCTCCTCCTAACCCCAACCCACCCTCTTGTCTGTCCTAAGAAAAGTACTGCTCCCATCAGGAGCCATCTTAATGCTTTGAGGTGCTGCACTGCCATGTAAAAACAAAAAGGGTATTAATTTCACTGCCTGACTAGCCTATGCTATTCATGAAGGCAACTTTTGTCATGCGCACCACCTCACTTGCAGTTTAGACTCAACGAAATGGACAATCACCAGTTGAAAATTGCACCTGCGGTGCTTCGTACTCATCCATACACAATCACGCATTCAAATCATAGTTTCCGGAGTGATTTCTACCTTAAAAGTGAGTGGCACAACCTAGGAATATCCAATGATGTATTTATGCCCTCAGCAAAGCCATTTGTGATCATAAGTGGGTGAGTATAAAATTTAAAAATGACGGGTGATGAAGTGAACCACAAATTGTTTCATCACGCATTAAGCATTACTGACAGAAGTAATTACAGACACATACACAGGCACAACTAACGCTCTCCTTCTATCGTAAATGCTACTTCTACTTCACATTTATTGCCGCATTATAGTGGTACCACGTGGTTGAACCCATTTCCATCCCCATTCACTCCATTTTAGTCGGTTTATTTGTCTAAAATTTTATCTACCACGATTGAAGCTTTCAGAGTCCTTCCTAACACTGTAATACACCATGCAAGTACAGAGAAAGGCTAGTTGATTACTTATAGAAGGACTGAGAGGCTGTGGACGTGCTCGAAGGGTCGAATTGGCTCCGAGCAGAAGCATAATTTATGAGTTAGCGTAGTTAAATGACCATTGAAAGCAAACGTTGAGGCATTCCACAATGCTTTTTTAGAGAGAAAATGCCTTTTCACGGGGTTTTAATGTATCTGGCATTAAAATTGCGAATACTCTGTGTTTTCTTCAATAATTTTTATGCATTTCTATGCAATATATTATACCTTGTTTAGTAATAATCTCATGGGTAGACCTTGCAAATTTGGTTGCACATTAACAGTAGCGTCAGTTCCCCACAGGTTTATTTGTAAATAATGCACATTTATCTCTTAAAGAAGAAAAAAACATTTTAGTTCTTTGGATGATAGATTTAGATAATCTAAATCGGCAAAATCTCACACTTTTCTCCCATGATAATAACCTCTAACACGACTTGCAAAAGAGATTGACATTTCGTTGCTAAAATAGTTTTGTTTTTTTGTAAAAAAGCCGAAACGAACTTTTGTTTTACGCTCTTTCTACCGCGGTTTATTTAGACGTATCACTTCCTGGGGTGACCAATTAAAATGTCCAACCAACGGAAAGGGCTTAAGGGATTTCGCCCCAAAAAAACTCCTTATTTTTTGGCTTAGGAAAAGAGGTAATGGAGAAGCTTCCCAAATGTGTTTATTTATCTCCGGTGTATCAGATTACTCCGGATTACTTGGGGTACTTTTGTTCGTGTTTCGCAAATTAAGAGCTGAACTTTAGGGCCTCGGATTTTGTACAAGAAAGTCTTCCGATTAAAGTTCAGCATGACTAGAAGAAAACTTGGAATTTGAGGAATCCGCTTCGTCAAGTAGTTAACTAAAACAACCACCTGCCTTGCATGTCGCTCCTTCCTTCTTTTGAGGCGCACCTTCTGCACCCCACTTGGCTGGTCCACCTCGGCAGCAACTACCCCTCGTTAGAGGTGGTCGCATGACCGTTTCCTTGGGGGAAAAATTTAGTTGATTTCAAAATCCAGTGATGCATCTCGTCGCCTTCATTGCGTCTGTACCTGTCCCCCTTCTGAGAGGAGGG